CTCAAGATGCCTCGTTTTAGCGTAATTTGTCCTGCAGACTGTGCCCTTCCGGCGTTTTGAGGGCTGCTGTGAGCCTGGCTGGCTACGCGATGCTGCCTGACCCTGCTGCTGTGTTGTGATAGCATTTGTCCGATTGTTTGGATTGAGGAAAGCTCCCATCAACCCAAATCAATGAGGATTCTGAGGCCATTCCTTCAGAAAGGAGCGCATATGCTGCAGTGTTTCTGTGGACAACGATCGAAGTCGACCACTATCACCAACGGTGAGAGACACAACACATACCACCGTAGCTCTGTAGCTACCTGCGCTTTGCATGCTTTCTCTCTTGAGTGATGCAAAAAAAAAGAAAAAGAAAAGGGGGATAAAAAGAGAGGAAAGGAAGAGAGGTGGAGGAGGGGACGTGGGTATCATTGGACACTCGAGTTTGTGAGTAAGATCTTCCGAGTCTGCAGTGCTCCTCGCATCTGTCCCGAGTTTTGTGTTTGCAGATAGCTGCTGGCAAGGCAGCATCCAGCAGCCGCACTGTACTCCGGTTACTTAGACCAGACTGGGGTTTAAATTTGCAGTCGAGCTTGTTCCAGTGCTGCATCTGAAGCGGGCCAAAACATGGACAATTCAGGGATCAAGTCATTAAACTTCAGGGGCCTGGAGAAGGCAGTGCTGTTTTAGGGCCCCACAACGAGCAGCGCTGTTCAGCACCACGGACAGCGCCATAGTGGAAGTCCTCCAAAACTTTTCATGCACTCAGATTTAAATCAAACCAAGTTCATCACTATTTGTTCACAGATTTAAACATCTTAAACTTAAGTCAAACTTAATGATAAACTAATACCAACTGTTTATGCTCTATGTGAACAAACAAAAGTCCTCAATAAGTTCTGATTTATTATGAAACTTCTCCTTAATTGGGGGTATTCCTTAATAGACCTCTGCCCCCCCACCACCCCTGCACTCTTTACTACTTAAACAAAAACATGGCACAGTGTAAGAAAAATGGTTGCATTTGCTAAGTAACCACTTTTTAACATGTTAGAGGAGTATGAAATCTCCATGACACACACACACACACACACACACACACACATGCCCATAAATACAATCATCACTAAACAGGGTTTGGCAGGAGGCCTAAGGTGCCTGCCATGTCCTCTAGACATGCTTCAGCACTTCACTGCAATGCTGCTGTTGTTCATTCTTAACACAAATGCTTTTCCAAAATGCAACACCTTCTCCCGACGCTTTACCATGTACCACAGCTCTTGTAGTTTCAGCAGGAAGAGCAGTGCTCAAATTCAGGGCAGACAATTAGAAACTCCATTAAGCACAGTTGATTCCTCTGAGGTGGTTGGACCAAAAGCAGCACGCACACTGGGACCTGTAGGACTGTGACATAAAGATCTACCAGTCCTTATCCTGCATCTCTGCCTGCTGTAAGATGAACCTTATGACCTCAATCAAAACTTTATGAGTCAGCTCATGTGTTGACACAAATCGATGCCAATGATGAATGTCGTAATCTAGTTTAAGAAGGTTGTGATGGAGAATATTGTATACATTTCCCACTATTTGTCCTGCATTTTTGTGGTTCCTTTGCAAAAATATATCAAGAGCACTTCCACCTTCTCTTTGCTTATAATACAAAACTGTAAGATTTCATATAGATACTTCTCTGCTTATTGATGTTTAAACAGCCACAATGACCTCATATCTGAACTTGTCTGTCTTGCCATGCAGCAGCAGTTTTCATGATCCACTCTATGTAAAGATGGCTCACACACTACTTTACAGTAGATGAGATAAAAGCCTGGGCTTGTTATCTGACTGCATCACTCACTGCTGAGGGGACGTGGGCCCTGCACAAGTTCATGTAAAGCAGGAAGAGCATTTTGCTCTCCAGGCTCGGGCACTGCGCCAAAAATCATCTCTCAGGGAGTTTTACTGAAAGATGTTTCTGAGTACGCTTAAATGTTTGCACCTGCTTCCCTTTGTAGTGTCGAGTTGACACCTGGCTTTGTGTGAAAGTTAACAGTTGTTTGGTGGATAAAATATTGAACATAATACAACCAAATCCCTGCTTGTCCTAGCTTCTGCAAATATTTTTGCATATAAGGGGACATTCATTCAAAAGGAGCTTTCAGTTAGACCACTGGTTTCTTTAAATTACTTTGTTCAAGTCCCTCCTTTGTAAAATGTAAAACGTCAGTGAGTGAACTCTGATGTCTTTGTAGACTGATGTGGGTCATTTGTTGTTTTCCTTTTTTTTTAAGCATGATTTCTTTCAATAACTATTTTAATTTGTCATATTTAGCATCTTATCTAAAACATGGATGAGATAAGATGCTGGAACTTAAAACTTATTCACTTTGCTTCACTTTCAGAAGTAAAGAAATATTTAATATGAGAGGTAAAACGCTTCAAGAACAACAAACCAAGTCCAGTTCCCTTTGGGATTAAGCTTTGAAATATTTAGACCTGTAGGACTGAAAACCTTCACAGGAAAAAATCCTTTGTTTCTGTCCATCTGCACATCTTTGGCGTTGTGCTCTTAGAATTGTCACATCGATGGTAACCAAACCGTATTGTGTGAATTGTTTTAGAACTCAAAATTTGTTAAAGAGCATTGCAGGGTTGCTCTCATTCTCACACATCTCTCGTCTTTGACTCCTGTATTACACTGTGAAAACTAGCTCCAGCTATTGTGAGTCACCCAATCTGTGAGGTATTTCAAGGACACGTTAAAGTGACAAAGTCCCGAGAAAGAACACATCCATTTTAGTCTCTCTGAGCAACTGTGGGTCTTTCTTTTTTCCACAAGGGGGCAGCAGGTGTAAAGGAAAGACTGCAGTTATTGCTGTGCTGTTTTCTCTCCAGAGGGATGTTGTGGTTCATGTCTTTTGGTTTTAAGAGGTATTTAGCCCATATGCTGCAGTATATTCAACATGGTGACTAATTTGAATTGTTTAATCCAAGAACTAGTCTGACTAAATTAAAACACAAAACTATCAGAAAACATGCAATGCAGATACTTGAATGTTCTTGTAACAATATTCAGAATGTTTTTAATATGAAGATAAATAACAGATGATGGAAGCATTTTAAATGATGACGTCACATTATTTCTGCAAGAGCCAGCAAGTCTTTATAGATTCAAAAGATAAAGCTAAGAGACAATCCCAGTGATTGCATTACATAATCTGCAGTGCATTTCAAAGCAGCAGTGTTTTATTACATGTGGACATATCGGCAGGAATGAAGTGAACATCAATTGTCTCTGGCAGAGCGAGGAAGCCTAGCAGATCCTCATTAGGGAATACTTTATCTTTTCATGACAAAGATTTATATGTGTCTCTAAAGCGCTCTACAGCACAAAGTCCCTCCTATTTCTGAGAATTTTGTTCCAGCACTGGCTCAGGTTTTTTTTCTCCTCAGAAATGTACATCACACTTCTGGTTATTGGTTTAAATGATGAATGATGTATTGATGTTGGTATTGATATTTCTGTGAAGTGCAGTGAACTATTCATTTACCACTCCCTGGCAGCTCAATAGGAATACAGAGCTAGATTAACAGCTTATTTGATTTTTTTGTTCCTGCCTTTCTTCTGCTCATGATTTTACTATCACCTCTCTCTGGCTTTTTTCTCGTGTTTGGGCAAATATTTCAGCTGCGCTCCACATCTCTTTCTCTCTCACATGCACTCAGGTAAAACACTTGAAGGGATATCCAGGTTACTAGTTCTTCCCATTCAACACTTTCATCCATTATATCTGAACGTTATGTAAGGGGGAACAGACAGAGGTAGTCAAAAAGGAAAAGTCTCTCTCTCGCTCTCTCTCTCTCTCTCTCTCTCTCTCTCTCTATCCATCCCTCTCCTGGTTCGGTTGGGAAAGAAGATGTCAAAACCAGTCCTAGAAAAACAAAAAAGGCTTTAAATGTTTCATACCATTCCATCACAGGGAAGAGAAAGGTTTGCTGAGCTGCTGAACACTCACGTGTTCTTCCTCCCACAGTTTGTGTGTGTGGTGTGTGTGCCTTGTGTGTGTGTGTGCGCTCCACAGCCCATGCAATAATAAACATGGAACCAATGGCATGCTTACATGCACAGGAACAGATGTTGGTACACGTCTGCAAGACCTATTTTATGTTCAACTTCATTCTGACTGCCTTTTATTAACAATACATTTGAGCAATTCCTTTATTCTAATGGGAAAAAGCAGTACCGCTCTACACACATCCAGCTGGTCACTGTCTCTAATAAAGAGCAGTTATTTGTGCTTCAGTATTATTCATGGTTTAGGTTAATGACTTCTGTGCTGCTGGGTATTATATATGTAATGTTTTTATGTGTCATTGGGGTCCATTTCATTTCCATAAGCCCAAAATCCTATTTCACCACGTGTTGTGTCACAGTCTGGGTATTCAGTGTCCTACCATTGGTGTTTGGGGTTCTCTCTGTGTGTGCGGAAACCTGTTGCAAAGTAATCCCTTTAGCCAGATTTAATATGTTCTTGATGGCACATGTGGCCCCGGGGCTTTTAGAGAGTAGAATGTTAAGAAGAAAAAGCTGTGCGGATAAATGCTGCGTAAGCGCATTATGATTTCTCTTTTTATGCACTCTCCTTTCTCTGCGTGTCTTTGCTGACCCACGTCCTTTTTTTAAATTACTGTCTTGAGAAATTCAGCTTTTAATAGTAATTCAGAGACATTTGTGAGATCTTCTGCCCTCTTGCGTGCGCGTGGGCTCTTGTTCCAAAGGACATGCATAAACACCCACAAAATGTACCATTTGCTGTTTTTTATTTTATATGATTTATATCCTTATGCCCCCCCCCCCCCGCCGCCTCGAGATCGCCTGTTTTTCCCTGAGCAGCCCCCCAAGAATCCCTAATACGAACCTCAATCACGTATGATTGCGTTAAGGAGTTGAAGAGGGAGAGAGGGTGTGAGCGAGAGAGGAAAAGAGAGAGAGAGAGAGAGAGAGAGAGAGGTGGCTATGGACCGCCACCGTCCACTCTCGCTGTCGGCAATGTAGGCTAACAGACCGACAACGTCCATCCGGGACGCGCTGGGAATAACGCGCAAGCGACTTTATTACTATTAAGCTACAATAAGAAACAGTCCGGGGTGCGTTCGCCACAACTAATTGTTGCTTTTTTGTGTGACGGGAATCCATCCCCGCAAAGCTTGAATTACATCTCCGCAGCATCCTTTGCAGAGTAGCCTCTGCTGCTGTGGATTCCATTTTTTTCCGGTGCCATCATCGACGGAACCGGAGACTGGGCTCACCAATCTGGGCTCACGGGACCAGCAGCGGATCATTTCATTCATCTTTGAGCACGGAGTAAATAATCGGGTGTGTGGGGAAAGTTTCTCCGGCCACGCACGAGCGACTTGTGCATGGATTTAGGTTGACGCGAATATTTTAAACGGCGTCTGGGAGCCTGAGGACTGGGCTGGTGTGCAGATGAGGATTACGAAGTCGTGCTGGCCAGACGCGGCACTGTTCACCTGGAATACCTGAAGCTGTCCAATGCCACGCTGCTGCATCAACTTGTCGACACTGTTGCATGTATGCACAGCCTAAATGTCGGCCCATGTGGCCTGTTAATTGTAGATTCATGTTTTATATAAGATCGGAGGCTGTTGATTTGTATCTCTGAGTGCCACGTAAAAAAAAAAAAAACTCGCTGCAGCCGAATTTCACGCTTCTGTCCCCGCAAGAGGATGCAGCCTGAAGCGCAATGATGCACGGAACACGGAGGATTTTCTGATCAGGATGACATTTGGTTAAAAAAAAGCAAACTCGTGGACCGAAAGGCAAATTCAACTATCTAGCCTTTTTTTTTTTTTTTTTTTTTGCGCGAAAAGCTGCACCGAAATCTCACCTCTCCCGAACCAGACTTTCGAGTTTTCTAGATTCGGTTCGGGGAGATATGGCCGCGATTGCCAGCTCCCTGATCCGGCAGAAACGCCAGGCGAGGGAGTCGAACAGTGACCGAGTCTCGACTTCGAAACGTCGCCCCAGCCCAAGCAAAGACCCCCGCTCTCTGTGCGAGAGGCACTTTCTTGGGGTCTTCAGCAAAGTCCGTTTCTGCAGCGGGAAGAAAAGACCTGTTCGGCGGCGACCAGGTCAGTGATTTATTTTAACAGATGTGTGTTATGTGTGCGTTTGGAAGCGGTTTTCCCAAGCCCCCCCACACCCCCCACCCCGCCCCTCTTTTGAGCAGCAGAGGCATTATACTGCAGTCAAGATCCGGAGAAGGTAGATATTCTCCGCGGTGCGAAAAAAAAAATCCACCTGTTCCATCAGGTCTTCTTGTTTATCTTGCCGATCCACTACACGACACAACCCTCTCTGTTAAACCGAAGCTGGTCAGCCTTAATGTATAAGAAATGATCTACAGGCTGTGACGTTATCCCTTTGGCCGTTTATTGAGATTCTGCTCTGATCAGAATAATCAATCATCCTGAAGCAAAACTGATGCTTGGCTTGTGCAGGTTTTGTCCCAACAGCCATTCACTATACGTCAGCCTTTGATTTTGATTTTTTTTTTGCACCCCCTCCCCACCCTTTCCCTCCAACCACACACACACACACACACACACACACACACACACACACACACACACACACACACACACACACACACACACACACACACACACACACACTAAAAAGGCTGCTTTAAAATGTATAATTCTATATATTCCTGCATATTCGAGGGGTACATAAAGAGAGATAAGTTGCACCGCAGTGCACCAAGGCTCTTTTCAGATTAAATGTTTTAATGGTTAAATGTTTATTGCAGAGAGGGAGCTTTACTGCAGTGAAGGGAGGTCTAGCTGTAGTGATTAAGAGCTACTCTGGCTGTATTGATAGACACAGGCTCTGTGCCTGCCTTTACTCCACTCCGTGGTAGAGCTTCTTTCCCCTCTATTTTATGCTCCTGGGTCTGTCCTGCATGGTGCACAGATATCAAGCTAGAGTAGCAAGTTGGCCCTCTCTGATTCCAGAAAACCAGCCGAGTGATGAATGACAGTCAGGTACTCTCAGAGTCCTGCAGACAGACTGATGAGGGATGAAGCAGACAGCAATTTTTGAGGGCGGAAAGGGAGGACAAGGGAGGTAGACAATCACCCAGACAATCAGACAGACCAATTAAATCCCTGTAGCCATGCAGTCTCATTTGAGAAAAAGAAATGCACAAAACGCCTAATAAGACACATAAGCAGATAGACAACAGACGATCAGGCCTCAAGAGACTGTTTGCAGGTAGGTAACACATTTAAATCACTCATAGGCAACCAGTCAGAGAGACAGACAGATGCTTTATTTTCCTCTGAACAATTACCCTTATATGTCCACTGATGCCTTGCCATATATTTGCATATAAACAGCCAATTACGCTGGAGAATTATTGAATTCTGCCTGTTTAAAAGACTTGTTGTTTTTCCTTCTATTCCCCCCCCCCCCCCCCCAACTTCGTAAGATGCACCCTCGAAACCTCCACAGGTGTCCCATAAGGGCTGCAGGCTAGGTCAGTAGCTCAGCCTCCATCTGTGTGTGCTGTGTTTTTTCTCCTCGTCTCCACCCCCATCTCGCGCCCATGTCAACTTCCCCCTCGGCCAGGGAGGGAGGGGAGGGAGGGACAGAGAGGGAGGGAGAGAGATGGGCGGGGGCTTTAACACCTGTCTGACAGCCGACAACCACTCTCCCTTGCTGATTTCTTCTCTATAATCTCTCTCATCCCTCCTTTCTTCTGTGTGGCTTTTTCGTGGATTTTTATAGCTTACTTTCGTAACTGTAGGTCGTTTGTTGCTCCTCTTGTCTCTCTCCTCTCATCACTTCGTCTTTGGCTCGGCCTCCTTTCATTTTGTCTCTGCCTCATTCTCTTCTTTGTCAGTGGATGTCAGATCAAGTCTTTTTATCCTTCGCTCCTTGTTCTGTGTCTGTGAATATGTGTCAAGTACTTCTGTGTAGAGGTTCTTCTTGTACTGTATACTGGTGATATGATGTGTTCCCTCCTGTCAAACACTATATATGAACAGGCGATCATTCACCATTTCACGGTCATGACGCCATTTGTCGACGTTCCCTAAATGTTTTTGTCATTCTGTATTTGTATGAAGTAAATTTATTGACTTTTTAATGGCCCATGCACGCACAAAACGGGAGAAATCTGCTGTATGTTCCACTGAGGGACATTTGTCACGCACAAACACGCTGTAAACTCTAGGGGTTAAGACCTGCAACACACACACAAACTTCCAGCTACACAGAACACAATACACTCTCTGCTAAATGATTGGAACTGATGAGCCGTCAGCGGCTGCTCGGGCTCACGTTGAGGCCTTAATTTATGGAAGTGTAGTTATCACATGTGATTTACTGATGTGTACACTCCCATGTGCTTTCACACACACACACACACACGCACACACACACACTCACACACTCTCCTCACCCTGCCTGTGATGGATGATGAAGGGGCCTGTCCCAGGAATTGATTGCCCCACCCCAGGGGGTAGGTGAGTTGGGGACTGATGGTCAGGATGATGTACAGTTGAGGTGGACTCTCCCCTCATGGGGGTCACTGTACTCACTTTAGTCTTTCTTTGAACTCTCTGCTCGACTACACTTGTCTTTTCATTATAAATAGAGCGTATGCACCTGCAGTTATACATCTTACATAAATACACCACATCTGCTGTTAATGTTCAAGACTGATCCGGCTGAAACTTGGAAATGATCTCCTTTTACCAAGTTTAAAAATGTTTCTTTCTGCCAAATCATTTGGGAGTTAATGCGCCTGAATGGCCTGCACATGTCTACATGACCCCTAAGTTTGGTTATGACCTTGGAGGAAAGTCAGGCAAACTCATGTTTTTACTCTAATTACGTAGAAAGCAATCTTTTTTCAGCTACTGAGTGTTTGTTTAGGCACACAAAATGAAACTGAGCGCCAGTTAAACTGTACCAAAACGCATAATTTGTTTCTTTTGTCTGGCAGAATAAACAAAAGGATTAGTTACATCCAGCATCTGAGCTGCTGTCTCATTTCAATGGAGCTTGTCTTAAAGAAATCTCTGCCAGTGCAAGAACAAGAACAACACATTTTTTTCTCAGCTGTAGTGCTTCATTGTAAATATAACTGTTTTAGTGACGTACACATGCTTTGGATTTTTTTTTTGCACTCAGACTGGGTTTCAAGGATCTCATGCTTTTAAGTCTCAAGTGTTTTCCTGTCAGAAACAACCCAAGTGTTATTAACACCTAAAATACATTGTACCATCAGACTCTCGCTGCTGCTTGTATACACAGTCAGTCAAACAAACTGTTGCAATTTTTCAAGACAAAAAAATAATAATTTTCCCTCAAACACTTTCTCCTGGCATTGCTGGAGGCTAGACGTTTTCTTTGCCCCGAGCTAATCCTTGTTCCCACCTGCTCACCCGAAGTGTTGAGCACATTGAAGAGCTCACTGGACAGACGCCAAATGTCACAGCCCTGGTGTTGTAGGTCGGTTCAGGGTTATGGCACTTAAAAAAGGCTCTAGAAAGTTTAAGGGGTTTTTTTAAGGTGAAGAAAAAGTACTGGAATCCTTTGGGGTGAACCTATTGCAAAAAAGAAAAAGAAAAACTAAAGACTCTTGGTTGCGACAAAAATTGCATTGATTATCAACAATGCTATCAACCTTAAAATGCACAGTTGCTTCATACCAAATAAAAATCTTTGGCATGTCAGTGTATATTGCTAAGAAATGTTTAAATAATTTCTAAACCATGCAAAATAAGACAATGTTCTTGACACAAAAGGGCTTAATGTGAAATGAAACCCTCTTATTGATTTTCTGTCATGATAATCTTATCGTAAAGGCCTGAGAGTCGAAAAGCCTTTTCCTGAATTTGTGGATTTTGTAAAAGATGACTTATTAGAAACTTTCCATCGTAGTGGAATAATTATTCCCTCATTAGTGAGTGTTTAATAAAGGAGTGAAGTGCTGTAAGTTTAAGTTATTTTGTTAGCAGACAGCTACAGAGGCTGGGTTGTACCACAAGAACACTAAGACTTTTTAATCATGGTTGTTAATAATTAAGTACTTAATTGATAGATTAAAAGATTTACATCAAAAATTGATTAATTTTGTATTAAACAACTCTCAAAAATGTAAAAGCCGATAATTTATTTGTTACATCGTGCAGGTAAATAATATTGAATTATAAAGAAAATGTAAGTGGTAAAAAGTCTTTACTCTTTCTGCTGGTACACTCCATCTTCCTTAGCCAACTTGTCTTTTTATTTCAACTTATTGAGCACCGTACATTTATGTTTGTGAAACATTTGTTCGTATAACATTTCAGCATTTGAAACAGCTGTGAGTGTGCAAACACGTAGCTAAAGGCAGAGGTATAAACTCTTGTGTGTGTCTATGTCAAAGTTATGAGAATATTCTTCTGACATATTCTTGGTGGGGATGGGGCTGTGGTTTGGCCGACGGCATGTGTGCGTGCGATTGTGTGTGTGTGTGTGTGTGTGCGTGTGTGTTCCAGAGCCGCAGCTGAAAGGCATCGTGACACGACTGTTCAGCCAGCAGGGCTTCTACCTGCAGATGCAGCCGGATGGAACCATCGATGGCAGCAAGGACGAGAACAGCGACAACAGTGAGTGGAGCTCTCTGAACTCCAGCTTCCAGCATTAATGATTTAATGGCAATGAGTCACTTGGTTATGTAATGTATTAACACATTTTCTATGCTGCGCTTTATCATTTTTAATTCTTATATAACTGATGCCAGCTACAAACACTCCGAAATAAGTTTCAAGATACCTTTGTTGAATTGGATTATCGCTACAAAAAAACCCCTACTGTTTTAAAGGGAGCTATTCACCAAAGTCCACAAAGCAGTATGCCCTCTTTTCTGCAGCTGGTTATGTAATAGCATGCAGGAGACATAAATGTCTTGAAATCTACTCAGATGCTTTATACATTCTGATCCAGTCTTCTTGAAAGTGCATACCTTAAGCAACATCTTCTACTTCTATTTTAACCCCTAAGTGAAATGAATTCCTTTCTCCCTGCCTGGTTTCTCTAAGTAAACCACTTCTGCTGTGTGCACTGCATGATTGTAAACGTCATGATGTTTTGATGGATTTAGCTGAGAAGTGTGTGATTATCGCAGCAGAAATTTCCTCCTGGAAAAACCCTTCGCATGAAACAACTGTAGCCCCACAGCTTCGCTCCTGAGCCACTTCTCTGCAATATTTCACCACAGATCGACTTTCCACAGTGGACTCGCGGTGGATAAATAGTCCCCAGGGTAATTTCTTCTAAAGGGAACACACCCCTTTAGCTGTAAAGGATTAGAAAGGGGGGGATATCAGTAGAAGTCTGAGTGTCTTGGATATTAAAACATAAAGGCTTTTGAAACAGTTTTCTGCAGGAAGTGAAGTATCAGAGAAGAGATATATTTCAATGGTGAACGTTAGCCAAAGCGATAATGACGACACATTCAGTCTGGAGTGAAGCCAGACAGGAAACCAATCATGACCTTTCTTCCCTAAAACATCCTGCCAATCGTAAAGCGAGTCAGAGCCAAAGCTGCTGGACCGTAGTAGTCATGCAGTGAAAAAGAACTTAATGTTTTTGTATTTCATAAGGAGATGGTTATTCATAGAAAACTGCTTAAAGCATAAAAGAAGGCACTGGAGAACAGAAGAGATTAAGAGGAAAAAAGTTATCAAAAACAGCATTCACATTATGTGTTTTCTTCTGTGTACCTCTTAAACATTGTTATTTCTTTGGGTGCCTCCATTGTGTTTTCTGAGGGGGTCTGGCTGATGAGGTTTTTTGTTGAATGTGAGGGTTTCCCTACCTCTCCATAATCCTCTTGTTAAGCAGTCCCACTGGCCCAGGGATGGAGGGATGCAGTGAATTATTCAGCCGCAGGAAACTAAAAATACCACCTTCTCCGTTTGTACCCAATGAATAATTCTCTGTATGAGAAGCCTCAAGCTCAGAGACAGTCCGAAGGAAGACATAGAAGGAGAAAGAAAGGAGGGGAGAAATTGGATGTGTTTTGAGAAGAGATATGAAGACAGAGGGAGTGAAAGACAAAGAGAGTGATTAAAAGAGAAAGAAATGGATGTTGTGCATTTGGTATTCAGCTCTCGCACTGAACTATTGATTTGCTGGCTGGATTATTAGAATAATAGATTACCCCCACCCTTGAACTGCACCACCCTGTGACCTGCAGCATCCTCCGCAGCGACAGATGGAATACAGTATTTATGTTCACGGGGAGGTTTAATGGAGTTTGATGCTGCCTAAGCATTAGGTGCACCCTAAGCCGAGAGAGTTTCATTCTTCTTTTTGGTTATTATCCATATTGCTTCTCTTGCTGAGACAAAGAAAGAACTGAATGACCAATGGGAGAAATGCATTATGCAACGCTGCTTTAATAACATCCCAGCAATTTGAACATTCAAGCTCGTATGACCCAAAAATGTTCTGAGGTAATGGAAACGAATGTGACACTGCTGCAGGGATACGCATGGTTGACTGGCTAAACTACAAGAGCTGTGAAACAGCATTCCGTTGATTAACACCCATGTTCAAATTTGAGCAGTTATTAATTTGATTGTCATCAGATGATTGCCTTCAGTAATTACCTGCACACACTGAAGCTCTATTCCTGGTTATGAGAATCTTGCGGTGTCAGGCATTCACACTCAAGCTGTCTGTGATGCTCCTGGTTGATTTATGGGATGCAGCAAGGCTTTTTTTATTAGTAGAAGACCTAGTCAATTGTTTTTTTACGTCACTTTATCAACTCTTATACGAACACAGAACATCACAATACCTGCTTTTTCATCTTTGGGTTTGCATTTCTCTCTGGATTTGGCATTCCCCTTTGGCACTTGAAGTTTGGCTGCCTCTAAACCTTTCCTGCAGGGTTTATTTCCTGCTGCGCCAGTATCCCTCACATGAAATGCACTTACTCTAGACTACCTGCAGGATTTGCTTGCAGCATATTACTGCTTCACTGGAAGGAGTTGTGGGGATTTTTCCTGTATTGGCTTGTTTAAACCCATTCTGTCTGGCCCTTTGACGATAGAAGATCCCCTGGAAATCTCTTTAACTCTCCCCCCAACCAACCCAGCTGCAATCTTTTCTCACCGAGAGGAATCGCCTTCAGAATAGTCATCAGGTCCTCTTACAGCAGTCTGTGCAGATGTAATAATGGAATCCATCAACCGCTGGAGCTGCAAATGGTAGGCTAAAGGAGGTAGCTGAATGGCAGCTCCTGACACTCTTTCTGAAGTCAAATGAGGAGCAGGAATACAGTGAAATGGGACGCCTTGTTTTGTGTTTTTCTTTTGCTCCCACTTTTCAAGTCAAGCTGTAAACCATATTCACACGATAGCTATGTTCCTCTGACATTTCGATTAACTGCTGTTTTAATGATGTATTGAAAGTTTCAAGTCCAAACAAAGGCAATCTGACAAAGATTATTATTGCATTAAATCCCGATTGTTCAACAACTGAAAATGACCTTTTTGGGAATTATTAGATCATATATCAAGATAAAACAGCATATTTGATAATTAATGATCTACCTTAAATATAAGCAAACGTTAGCATTTCATTTTTTCCAGGCTGACATTAGAGAGAGACACAGCCTGTCACCAGAGCGACAAAGGTAGCAGCAGCCATGAAAGGCAGATGGAAATATACAGTGAACACACAGAGAGGAAGGAGAGAGTCATGACCGAGAATGAAAAACAGAAGTGTTGAAGAGCCCATATTATGCCCTTTTTGGGGTTCGTATATTTAATCTATGTTCCTACTTTTGTACGTTCACAATAGCTAAAGTTTGAAAAAAGTGTCTGTTTTCATGTACTGCTCCTCCTTGCTTCCTCTCCGCTCTGAGTCCATCAGCTACGCTCTGTTGAGCCCACACTGCAGAGCCCCACGTGTGCCAAGTCTGCTCTGATTGGTCTGCCGATCCGCTCTGTCGTTATTGGTCAGTTGCTCAGCACGCTTCTCGGAAATGTCCCGCCTCTTTTACCATATTGGGAATGCAGCCACTGGCTCTGTCTGAGGGGAGCATAAACATTAGCACCTTAGCACTACTGTGCTACCGCAGGCTACGGCATATCGTGGGCGTGCTACAGAAGTTAACGGGCGTGCAACATGAGCTGCTGGGCTTGCCACAACGAGCCAATGGGCTTAGATCAGTGATGTCACACTGACAATGACGTCGGACTGACAAATTTTTATCAAGGGGGGCTAGAACTGAGCGTTACATGCAGCTAATGCTACAGCTAACAGGAGGACGTAGGAGAAGCCGTGTTTCCGCAGACTTTGAATTTTTGCACATAGATGTGCCCAAACATGCACAGGACACTTGGAAAACACACTAAAGAGCATATAAAACCAGAAAAAGCACAATTTGGGACCTTTAAAAAACACAAGGGACTGAGGAACTTGTGAAAACGAAATTCAAGGTGCTAATAGACTGTCTTTATACCCCAAACATCAGGCCCTGAAGGGTATGTTTAACTGCAGGAGTCGCCTGTGTGTGTATCAGCCGAACTGTCGGCCCGAGGGCAGAGTGAAGCCATTGGCAGGCAAAAGCAGCCCGTCGATATTTATTGAGCGAAATTGAATCTGCTCGGAGGACAGACCCATGTTGGCACGTCTCCTCTTGTCCCTGCCAGCTTTATCTGATAGTCCCCCATCGCCACTTGCAGAACAATCATCCTGACAATACAGGGAGCCTGCAGCACGTTGAGCGTGTCCTCGCACCCTCATCAAACTAAAGCCCATGAAAGTCACAGTTCAGTCCTCAGATTCAGCAGAACACACCCGCAGAGATAACAGTAATTCAAATCTAGGAGCACTTAGCAGAATAAAATTAGACTTGTTGTTTCAAGAAGAGATAAAGCCTCTTAAATGATTGTCCAAACATCAGAAAACAACTGTAGTGGCTTCGGACATTCTCATTTGAGATCTTTAGATACAATCTGGCTGTTAACTTTCTGAAACATATTTCTTTGTTAAGTTTGGGGAATCTTCTGAGTCTACTGGACTCCACATTTTGTACGCCAAAACTTCAGTTTATTAATAACTATTGTTATCCTAGCATTGTGTTATTTTAATAGAAATGCTGAAAGAGAAAAGACAAATCGCACAGTGGGAGAGTTTAAGACGCTATTAAATCCATTAGGACATCAAATTTTAAAGGGGTATTTTTGCCACAAGTTGTACAGAAATATTCTACTAATAGGGTCTTACAGGTGAAGGTAAATAACACATTTAAAGACCTGTAAGACAATATATGGAGAGGAACATCAAAACTTACTGGATGGACCAAGAAGGGAGACTTACTGTATTGTGGTGAAAATCAGAGATGACGAGTTGGAGAAAAGTCACATCAATCCGAACTTAAAATAACAGGTGACAGTTTAAAGCAGCTTCTAACAGCAACATAGGGATTGGATCACAGAGGTTGTGGAGAATTCAGTTTAGTTTCACTGAAAGATTTTGTCACAGCAGGCTGATTGAATAAAATCAGGAACAGAGAGAGAGAGAGAGAGAGAGAAAATAAATAGAGAGTTTATGAAGGTACTCAGTTTCTGGGTTGAACTTCTGCTATGCTTCATAAGAAATGTAAGGCCCTGGAAACTAATTTACCCAACTGGCTCAGTGTTTTGATTGATGGGGTTGGACATGAGCATAGAATTACATCAGTCTCTTGCATTTTACATGAGCGATTTCTGTCAGGGCTGTTTTAATGCAGGCAGGGCTCAGCTGGAAAAAGATGATGTTCTAAACTTCCATGTTCAAACATGTATTTTTTTTATCAATCCATTCTCTCTGAAAAGTTCTGGATCCATTCAGGGCTCTTTTCTGAGTTGAGCTTTCCCTGAACATCTCCAGAAAGGAGACCCACAAGGCTTCTTAATCAGATGCCCAAACCTAATCAGCTGTCTTCTTCGTACTCCGAGCTTCCTCTAGACGTCTCGGCACTCCATCTCCATGCTTTCACCACCCCAACTTATGGAGGACATTTATTTCTGCCACTTGTATCTGTTATCTAATTTTGCCAGTCTACTCAAGGAGTGTTGAACATAACCTGAAGGTTGGAATGTTTTCTAGCTCATTCACTAATGATAGAAAGATAAACGATGACAACTGTTTGCTCATGTTGCAGCATTCAAAAAGTAGTTTTTTTTTTCCTGAGACCTATTTAAAATCGGAAAAAAAATTAAACCTATATGATGTTTATGAGAAGAAGAAAAAAAAACATTTGCAAGGTTACTCCTTTGATCTCTGCTAGAGAGAGGTCCGCTAACAATACTGCAATTACATGTTATTGCCATAGGGGCCACCAAATGACAAAACTGATATGCTCAATATTTGTAGGTTTTCTGTTTTTTTATTGGGGGTTTCAATCACAACAAACATTATGTATTAATATAACGGTCAGTCTGGCAGCAAGTACAGAGTTCTCATCAAATGGAAAGACAAGCAAAAGAAAAAACAAACAAAACCAAATATAAATAAATACATAAATAACTAAATTATACACATATACATACATATGCGCAAATATACAAATACACATAACACAGACTAAGACAATAGCCTACTAGTTTATGTTTTTGTCAAACATATTTAATGTTACAGAGAAATACTTTGCTACTGTAGAAACTAACTTGTATTCTTATAGCAGCAGACTAATGTTCAATTCAGAGCTGTTCTGTACAAATTGGCCACGAACATGGAGTCATTTTAATACATGAGTAAACAGCAAATCATAAAGGGTGCTGTCTGATTTGTTGTGGACATTCTTATTTCATCTAGGACAGGTAGCTGTTTCCACAAAACAATGATTGGCCTAATATTCTCTGCAAACGTATTTTTTTTGTATCATTTCAAGTCTCTTCCACCAGAAAGTTTCAGTTTTCAGGTAAAACATTAAAGCTTAACCGTCACACTTTGGTGCGGAAGTGTTCCCATTGTTCATGTCCTGTGCAGTTCACTTTATTGCTGACAGATAGACGACAGCCTCTGATCTCTTTTCTGTGGCTAAGACTCTAATGTCCTGTTCTCTCTTTTCTGTTTGATGTCTCTCTTTTGTCTCTGCCCCTTTGGATCTGTCTGTGTGACCCTCTCTCTCTCCCTCTCTCTGCCTTTGTCTCTGCAGCCCTGTTTAATCTTATTCCTGTGGGTCTGAGAGTGGTGGCCATCCAGGGAGTGAAGAGTGGCTCCTACATTGGCATGAATGGCGAAGGCATGCTCTACAGCTCGGTAAGACACTGTTAACATGTGCAGTTGTGTGCACTTGTGCATTTGTTCGTTTACATGGGTTGTGTTTTGTTCTGTTGTCTCTTTTAATATCCTGCCACAGTAAAGACTCAGCCCTTTAAACCCTTTCATCTCGGCTCTATTCGAGAGCTCTTCAGATGTGCCTTTGTGTTGCCGTGCAGCACTTATCCCCCCCCTCTTTGTTGTTGAAGCAGTGCTGTGTATGTTTTACATTTCATTTGACATCAAGTTCAGTCCCCAACCCTTTTTAAAATGGCCTCTTCTTCTTTTACGGGCTACTAACGCAGACTCGCTAAGCCATAAACAGAATTTTAATTGTCTATTGATGTGGATGCTGTTGCTTTGTTCAACTTTCATCCTAATTTCGGCTCAGGATCTTTTTGTAGTGAAAGGGTACCACTGCCGAAGTTGTATTTTTCTTTTGCAATCAAGCAGTAAAATGTTTTTTTCAGAGGTAAATCTTTAAATATATATATTTCTTATGCTTAGAAAAGTCTTGCTCTTGGCCTGAGAAACATAAAACAATCCCACCACATTAGCAGAAATACTTCTTCGAGAATATAAAAATAATTTTAAGACCCAGTGGAGGAGGAAGTATTGTGTTACATGGATATTTTATTTGCAGTGTTAATATATGAGAAGCTTATAGGCTGCTGTGGGAAGCTGATGCACGAATGGGGGTGGACACAGTCACAGATGTCAGTTGGAGAAAACACGGAGCCGTAGCTGTTGCATTGAGGATGCAGATATGCTTCTAGGGCACGTTTGTGGAAATGAGATGCAGTGGGAGAGAGAGCGTGTGAGAGAACTGGGATGGGGGGGTCAAATGCAACGATATAGAGACAGGAAGATATCCCTAGTTGGCATGGTTATGTAACCGCCCGTCTCATGCTTCCTAATCCAGTTCAGGAAACTGTTAAAAAGATTAAACAGGGGTGGTTTGACTGTGGAAACCACAAACCTCTGCCAAGAGACGTTGTGAGGTTGGTCTCACAACGAGGCAGCTTTGATAAATATCTGACAAGAGCTGGAATTCACAAATTGCCTATTAATGTTTTTTCTTTCTCAAAATACTCATAACATCTGCGAAGGACACAGCGACTCGGAGACTCTGTCATATTGCATCTTACATTTATTGATAAGGGAGCCACTTTACTGCTAGAGAGGCACACTGCAAAAAGTCAGCTGTCAAAAACAAATAAAACATTCTATAAAAAGGGACAACCATTACTAAAAATGGCAAATGTATAGGCCAAACAAATAAGGAATTTGTTCTTTCCAAGTGTTTTACTTTTTTTTTTATAACAAAATGTTATTGAGTCTTCCGGCAATTGGGAGAAATACAAAAAATATTGTCCAATAAAAATGCTCTCTGCATTTTCTCTGTCTTCTAACAGCAATTTATATCAGCAACAAGTCATTCCTTAGTTTCCGTTTTTTAAAGGATACATATAAAAATGCAGAGCCAAATAGCTCTCTGCTAGAAATGAACAGTAACTTTGGAGAACCTAGATAGAAACCAGGAGTAACACCCAGGTATGCCGTCCATTCAATTCATTCTGCATTGGTACACCAACCAAGGTGCAGGGACCAGAGTAAAGATTCTTCATAGTTTATTTCCTTTCCAACTTAATTCCAACGGTAGTGATGAACATAGTAGTCAAACTTAAAGGAAAATTAAAAAACTCTTATCAGGGTCACACCAATAAATCAAATTACGGTAATAAACTAAACCATGCCATAAATGCACATGAGCATATATTCACACATAAATAAAAAAAGTACTCAAACAATGCAGCAAACAAAGGGAGTGAGCATGGCCTGCTGCAGGCCTCTTAATTACTAAAGTGTGGCTTGAAAGGTTCAAGGCAGGAAGTATCTGCAACAGAGCTATCTTACACAAATAGGTGAATCTTCAACAACAAAAAGGGAAGTCATATTGTGTTTAAAGGGATAGTTCAGGTTTTTGAAGTGGTGTATGAGGTATTTATCAGGCAGAATACAGAGCCCTCCCAAAGGAAAGGGCTGTTTGCATCAAGGTGAAGCAGTAAAAAATATGAACAAAAATACAGCGTACACTTAAACAGAAATAGTTACATGGGTGGCTATTCTCAGTTACTAGAGTACAAGTTTTTTGTGATCCCGTCCGGGGTGGTAGCTAAATTTCAGTGTAGGAACTCTGGCAGGCTTCTACAAACAGGGACCGTGCTGACTGTTGTCTACTGTACATTCACACTTTCTATTGATAAGTACCTCGAAGTACCTCATACAACACCTCTTCAAAAAAACACATACCAGCCCTTTAAAGTGTGAAGAGTTAAAGGATTATGATGCTTGAAACATAAACATGAAACACAGGGCTTTGACAAAGCACTTGTCAGTGTTGATGAAACAGCTTTGTGTTTCTGGTTATTCATATTATGATCTTAGTCCAGAAGTAAAAAAATCATGTTGTAAATTCTTGGTAAAATGTTTGATATCATATGAGGATAATTAAGAACTACAAAGCTGAAAAATAAGTGAAACATACCACAAACTCCCTTTTTAGATGGAATATCTCGTTGGACAAAAAAAGTCTGTTATGTTGATTTATTCAATCTTGTGTCTAAGATTTCAATTCTAAAGTTGTACATTACATACACATTTTTCATGAATGTGTAAACACAGACAAAACAAGTTTTGAGCACAACTCAGTACCTGGACAGATGTACTAGGACTAACAGGTTCAGAGAAGGATGTGCGATATATGTGAAGGCTGCTATGACTCACCCAGGTAGACTGATTCATTCACAACTTAATGCTCATAAAGAAGCGCTCAATTCACAGCTCTACTATAAAGCTTATAATAACCCTCCACCCACATATCTACGTCTAATTAAAGTTTAATCGTACCCAGACAACGATCTTTTAATTTGTGAAATTGATTCCAAATTGGGGATGCAGTACGACCATTCCCACACACACACCCACTGTGGATGAAATCATCATCTGCGTCATGACTACATAATCATTGTTAATTAGGAGTGATTCAGTATGTCTCTGTGAATCGTTTAAACCTTCATTTTTATGGAACAGAGAAGCTCATTTTTGACCTTTTCTATCACAAGGAGAGAGTGTTTGTCAGAAGGAAAACGCATTTTTAGCAAGAAGAGAAGCCAAAGCAGTTTTGGACGTATGTGAAGTCTGGCCTCTCAGATGTGAAGCATGGGAAATTAGCATGCATTGGTAAGCAGAACTCAGGGTGGTAGGCTGGATCACACGGAGGCTTATAAGCCTCGGAGAGCCCCCGAGTGCTCATAAAGAGGCTAAATTAACATTCAAACCACTGGATAAAAGCACACAGAGCCTCCGCTTCAGCCTCTTATTTCCATTATTTACCAACACAGATTATGAATGTGATGGACCGAGAGAGAACTGCTTTAGTGTTTCCAGAGGACTCTTAAAAGGGAGAACATTTTGTTATTCAAACTTTTATGAGAACTCTCCTAGCACAATGACAACAATAAAATAAAAGTCCTTCACTTTCATTTCTTGTAGCTTACTCACATTTACTTTTATGATTATTTGTGCATATGTTTCTAATACACCTCCCTCTCTTTTTAGCTCTTTTCTTCAAGGGCTCCATTTCACTGCATTGGCTCTACCCACTATAAAGTTTCTAAAGGTTATACTTGGACTTTCTTTGCCTTTATTTAGATATAGGCTAGTGGATAGAGTCAAAAATCAGGGACAGAGAGAGTGGTTAATGACATGTGGGAAAGGAGCTATAGGTCGGATTCAAACCCGGGCCGCCCATTTGGAGGTCCAGAGCCTCCATATATGGGGTGCACACTAACCACTAGGCTACCTGCGCCCCATGAAGTTTTTACTGCTTGTTTTAGTTGTCTTGTTTTGTCTACCTAACATCTGAGAGCCGCACAGCTCTCTCTCTCTCTCTCTCTCTCTCTCTCTCTCTCTCTCCCTCGACCACCTCCTGGGAGATAATTACTGAGGGATATCCTTCTACATCTCTAACGCTCCTTGTATTTTTTCTTTTTTCCTCTTCCTCGGTTTTTTTGCTTCTGTCTTGTTAGTGAGGATACGCGACAGGCTTGATCTTCTTTACGTTTGAGAGGATTCTGAGAAGTCGTGCAGCAACCAGACTTTCTCTTTAGTTGTTCATCTACATGTCAGGTATCTAGCCGTTCTTTTACTGGTCAAATTTATAATACTGTTGATCAATAAGTGGAGTTGATGGAGCTGTGTGTGAGAGCGGGCCATTATGCTTGTGTGGTGGAGTGTTTAGCAATGAAGTGCGTGGGGGCTGAGCATCCACAATGAAGAGCTCCCTTCCATTATTTATAACACTTCTCAATATGACCTAGTTTACTGCACAGCAGTAACCACTGTTCTCTTCAGCTATTGCTCTATGTCTCTATCTTTCTATATATCCATGCAGCAATGCATCATTAGATTGATCTAGGCATTATCAATGGATCAGTGTATCTATCGTTCTGTCTATATTATTCTGAATAGTAATCTATATACATAATGTTCATGTGATATATCCTAGCTTTAGGGGAAAAGGGATGTAACCAGTTGTTGTTGTTTTAGCACTTTTATTTATTAGAAAAATAAGTCAATACTGGTTACAACAGGAAGGCGAGACAAAATAAATCGGAAAATGTAAAAGGCCTGTGTGTGCTGCTCAAATCAATAAAGAAATATAAAAATGGACATAAAACTGAGTGAGTTGGCACCTCTATACCTAATGTTACAAACAGATGTAAGCCTTAAGTGAGTGTGTTTGTTTGAAGCTGAACTAATCCCTGGCCCAGTCCAAGTAGAATGAGTGCCTTTAGCAAGATCAAACAATGAATTGTCATGCAACTAGTTATTACTCAAAACAGTTCTTGACACAACAACAATGCTAGTCACACTCTTAAAGGGAGAGTTGGTGGGTGCTCACCTCTCCGATTGGTGCATTGTTCTGGGTCTTACAC